GGCGCAGAATTTGGTCAGTCCTGGTGTCTCTCAAATACTGAGGGGATTTAAAGAAGAATGGAATGGGAGCATCTTTTTATACCTTTTCAGACTGTAATAATTTTCAGTATGTGTCAGAACTCTGGCCTAAACCATTTCCCCATGTTCTTATGGGGTTGTGTGTTTTGTGTTTTTTTTTGGTTTCTGGGTTAGATTTGGGATGCATATTGCAGCACAGGCTTTCAGAAATAGTAGTGATTATGGGTGCCATTGTTTATATATATATTTTTTGGGTGCCCAACTTGAAATATCTTTTAAAAGGGCTGAATTTGCTCTCTTAAATTCAGGCCCCTTTAAGGTATTTCCAACTGGATCCAGAATTCATCACTTTTGGAAATGTTGGCCTGTCAGCACAAGTATAAATGCTGGAATAAAGAAATGGCCCTATTGTGCAACTAATTAAATTATCTGGTTTTGGTTGCTGGAGTTCAGAGCTGTGAGAAATGACGCTGCCATATATTTGTCATTGAAATGTAGCCATCCAGTACGCAAAGGAGTACAACATAGATAGCAACACAGGGCGGCTATGTACCACATATATTTATTAAAAGAATACTAAAATACTAAAAATACTTGTTGTCCTACCAATTATCACCATGTCCCATACTGGGTAGCTTATTCTTAATTAAAATATAAGGATGTGCTCTGCACATATTGCTAGTGTTACCCTGGAGATGCTCAGGGTGCAGTTAGTTGGACACGGGGGGGCAATTTGTTTTAGATATTTGGCAATCTGGGCGCATAAAACTAATCTGCTCCCACAATGCTGAATTCTGTAATGGATTTAGCATTATTTAATTAAGTTTAAATGTGACTGCATGAAATAACCAGGACGGAGTTTATTACTTTTAATCAGCAATCAGAAAAATGTGGGAGAGCCAACAAGCATCCTAGAGGATTTAAAAAAGCATTTCCCCCCCCCCCCCCAAAATCTAGCTGGGTATTTTTGTTTTACTTTATTTTGAAGTATGATGTAATGTTAACAAAAGACTGAACAATTTCCCACTCTTACAAGAAGGTGCCTGCAGGCTCACTCACATGTACTGTATGAAACCCAGCAACTGGCCAGGACTTTGTTGGTTTCTGCCACTAAAAACAAATGTGAACTTAAGACTCTTAACTAACTACATTTTTAAAAAATAACTACTGGAAAATAGGTCAACAACAACCACTTAATCTCATATACTTTGGGGGCCTAATTATACCAAGAAATCCCAAGAGTGCTTTGCAAAAGGCACGCTGTAATTTAATAATACAGTTGGCAGTGCCAAGCTAATGATTTAGAGCCTGATCCAAAGCCCATTGAAGTAAATGTTGGAGTCTTTGCATTCACTTCAATGGGTTCTGGATCAAGCCCTTAACGGTCAAAGGAATCCAAGTTTTTACTTTGATGTAGAAGGAAACAGCAGCAGCATCTCCAGACAGGGAGTTCTGCCCCCAAGTCCCCTCCCCCACCTCAAAATGCCAAATAGTTGAAGTACTATCTGGCAGTGGTGGTATATTTAGGGGCTTGTAATAACAGAAGGAAGTGCATCTAGAGTAACAGAGCCAGCCATCCTGGTTTTGGCTCTCAGTCACTTAATGGGAGTTGAGGTTGTTCAGCAACTCGCAGGATAGTGTCCTTAGAGAGTTGGTTACCTGTTAGGTGTTGCATAGTTTGAGCTTTGTAGAAGGAGCAAAACTGAACCATTGTAGATACTGTACTCCTTTTTATTAAGGTTGTGTCACTTAAGTGGGGAGGGATAGCACAGTGGTTTGAGCATTGGCCTGCTAAACCCAGGGTTATGAGTTCAATCCTTGAGGGGGCCACTTAGGGATCTGAGGCAAAATCAGTACTTGGTCCTGCTAGTGAAGGCAGGGGGCTGGACTTTCAAGGTCCCTTCCAGTTCTAGGAGATGGGATATCTCCATTAATTTATTATTTATGTATTAAGATGCCCAGGGCATAGAGAAGCCATACAGTGTGTGGTTCTGTGGTTGCAAAACGAACAGCGTTGTGTGGAGCTGGGCTCCATTTAATGTATCTTCCCAAAGTCTAGAGAGCTTCAGTTAAATGTTCTCATTTTTATGTCATCTCTGTCAACCACAGTTAAACAAGATAGAAACCAACTGCTGATTTCATTACAGTATTTTGATCCAGATCCTGGAAATCTAGAATTAAAATTTCATTCTGAATCAAACTTCTCTCTAGGAATCTACCACCAGGTCATTCATCTTTTCAGTGGTTAACATTATTTCAAGAGATTATCTCATTCTGAATCTATGATAAATAGATAGTCCCTACAAATTAATTATCCACAGTTAATGACCAAGTAAGAAATTAACATCATGAAGCCAATCTGAGGTTGGTTAAAATCCTAAATTGCACAATAACTCTAGTATTGCCAATCTCCGTGAGACAGCTTCTGTTATAAATGGTATTTGTGAGGCAGCAGTTTCAGAAATGGACCTGATTCCTGAGGACTAAAGCTGTTTTGTTTTTTTCCTCTGCACACTTTCCACTCAGAATTGTAGGCAGCCCTGTAGCTTAGATCTGTGGGTGTTTTCTTGTCTCCCAGCCTCAGCTCGTTGAGGTCCTGCTGAATTTATATTTCTCTTTATATCCTAGAAACAGGATGAACACCTGAATAATTTTTGCAGATTGCTTGGAGTGGAGCACAGCCAGATGGAGCACTGGCTGTGCCATCGGAAGCTTGTCACAACAGCTGAGACGTACATCAAGCCCATGTCTGTGCAGCAAGTCGTGAATGCCAGGAATGCGCTGGCTAAGCATATATATGCCCAGCTGTTTAACTGGATTGTGGAGCATATCAACAAAGCCCTGCATACCACTGTCAAGCAGCACTCATTCATTGGGGTTCTGGATATCTATGGGTAGGAAAGGCCTCTGTTTCTTCCACTTTCATTTGCCAGTCTGTTGCTCTGCTTTCTTTAGCTTACCATGTTCCACTTCAGTTAAACATGAGTTTTTAGAAATCTGATCCATGCAAAATCTGTTCCAGAATGGATTGCTAGGGGTGACTGTATTTGCAATACATTGAATGGTAGAAGTTGCATTGAGCAGGATAACTTGTAGCCTGATCCAGGGCCGGCTCTAGGCACCAGCAAAACAAACTGGTGCTCGGGGCGGCACATTTTTAGAATGCCGCCCCTAAAAATATGCCCTGGCCGCCCTAGCTCACCTCCGCTGCTGCCGCTCGCGCGCCACGGCGTGCGAAACAGCTGATTCGCGCGCCGCTGCTCACCCTCCCTCCCAGGTTTGAGAGCCTGGGAGGGAGGGGGAGATGCCAAGTGGCTGCGGCGCGCGCGCGCCGCTTCTCCCCCTCCCTCCTAGGCTTGAGAGCCTGGGGGGAGGAGGCAGGGCTGGGGATTTGGGGATGGGACGGAGCTGAGGCGGGGCCAGGGGTGGGGTAAGAGAAAAACT